GCCCCAAGGTATTGTTGTGAGTACTACTATTAGTAGTATGCTGTTTTTGGCAGTCTGAAGGTGTGCCCCAAGGTATTGTTGTGAGTACTACTATTAGTAGTATGCTGTTTTTGGCAGTATGAAGGTGTGCCCCAAGGTATTGTTGTGAGTACTACTATTAGTAGTATTGTTGTGAGTACCGACTAGTTGTTGGTGGTTGCTCTCAATGGTGTCGTTTCGTCCCTTCGTTGTGGCATGTTTGCGGCTGTTTGTTTATGATGTTACTGTGAGGGTGATGAATCGGCTCTCCTTCAACGGTGGCTTGAACTTGCGATTGATGCCGTTTCATGTTTGGCCACCGCTCATGGCTTCAAGTTCTGTAATACTAAGATATTTACTCTGAAGCGGGTCGTTCTTCGTCCCTGTTTGTCACTTTATGGCCATGCCCTTCATTACAAAGAATCCAGGAAGAATTTGTTTGTTTGAGAGTGGTTTGTGTTGGTCGTCCCATGTTTGATACCTCCGTGTTGAATGGTGTAAGGGCGTGAACCTACTTAAGGTGTTCTCTCATAGTTGTTTGGGAGGAGATAGGCGCACGCTCGTCTATTTTCATTTGTCTCGTCGTGTGTAAGGTTGATTATGGTTTGGGTGCGTAGTTTTATGCTTCTCTTTGTACTGTTTGCCGTCTTGATCTTTTGCACCATAGTTTGTAGCGCCTCAGCTCTGGTTGTTTTCGTTCAACTCGTAGCATCCGGTTGTACGCTGACAGTGTCATTGTCTGTGCATGATTGCCGTGATGGTTATGTTGCGGGATGCTAACAGCATCGTCAGTCGCCTGTATCGTGCTTTGAGGTGTACCCCTCGTGTAGTTGCCGTTCCTCTTCACCACGTTCCTGTCCGTTTGTGTCGCTTACAAGAATCTGTTTTTGTTATTGTTACTAATGTTTCTGGTATTGTTCCCTGCTTTACCCCGTGGAGGGTCCCCCCTTCCCCAATTGTGTACATGTGTGACTTGCATGACTAAAGGTTTTACCCCTGGTAGATATCTGAAATTGGTGTTCGTTGAGCAGTTTTGTTGTGACTCTCGGTCCGTTCCCATGTTCACCGATTTTTGTATGTCTGTTGACGTTGTGGGGTAGTTTGTTGTTTTTCCTGAGGACACTTACATGTGTCGGTTTCATCGTGAGGCTAGCATCTTCTCAGGAGAAGTGTATGGTATTGTGTATGCTCTTGGTGTCGTGGTTTCCCGGGGTCAATCGTCATTTGTGGTAGTAGTTGAGTCTCGTAGTGCCGTCATGGGATTAGAGTCGTTCAATCGGGTCCACCCGGTGGTCAACGAGATTAAACATTGGCTGCTTGTTATCTCGAGTAAATATAAGTGTTGCGTTTTGCTGGGTTCCCAGCCATGTTGGTGTATCTTGAAATGAGCGTGCGGATGCTGGCGGTAAGGCCGCTATGCGCACTTGTCCCATCTCCCATAAAGGTGTTCGTTATTCCGACCTTTACCCCGTTAATAATGTAGCGCCGCCCTGCTCGTTGTTGTCGAAATTTGAATGTCCCGAATTTCAGTTTGTGAGTAAGAAAGGTTTGATGTGTTTGGCGTTAATCTTTTTTGTTCTGGTATTGGCATCGTTGGTACTATTTATCGTTCTGTGATTATGCGTGACATTTGATGGTGGTACATATCGGTGCGGGTTTTGTATTGATAAATAGTTACAAACCGTTAGTTGATAAGATTTAAGTAACATTGGAAGAGCGCTGGTTGGATGATCATAAATATTGTAATTTGAGTCGTAGATAACGTTGCGTGCTTTGTAGCGTATGTTGATAGTGATGTAGGTAGTTGAAATGTTAATTGCAGATAAATGTAATTGTGGTGATTGGTTTTGCGGGCGGCATGTTGTGAATGGAACATTAAATAATCATGTTTGTAAAGGTTATGAAAAAAATATAATGTGTAATTGACTATTGAAGGTGGTTGTTGGTAAATAACAGTGACCAAGAGATTGTCATTGTTGGACGTGGACGTTTGAAGGGTGCACTAAGAAGAAAGGCATATATTTGGACGTAGTAAATAACATGTTTCGTATGGTGCAAATGTGATATATCGGCAAAGCATAAAGAAGCAATAACGTCAAGAATATCTGTAAGTGTTTGCCTGAGGTTGAGAAAAAAGAAAATCAAACAATGGATATATTGTAGAGTAAGAAATAAGTTATTATTCAATGAAAGTGTAAATGTACATTTGAGTTTGAGAACTATGTAACAAACGGATTTTGTCAGTAATATATATAAATAAAATCTATAATGGTTTATGTAAGAAATGTTGTATGGAATAATGAATATATTGAGTTTGATTAAAAATATTGATATCGAAAATTGATAGTTTAAGTGTACATGTCACTAATAAATAATATTGATGACTTCATGAAATGTATTAAACATATTGACCAATGAATATTATTAACAAGAAGAAATAAAAAAAAAAATTACAGTATTTTATATATAATGAAGATGGTTGAATAGTGAATATAATAAAAATAGTGTAAATAGAAATTGTATAATAATGTAAAGGAATAGTAGTAAAAGTACAATCTTATTCATTAGTAAGTAATAATAATATTGCAATAATCGTGAATAGTCTTGAAATTGATTGTTGACCAATATAAAGAGAATATGAATGACGAGCTGCTTATAGTAGGCAAGAATATATAATTGTTTCTTATTAATAAGAAATTGAATTGTATTTGTGTAAATGGTGATAATTATCAGTACAATCTTCATTACCGACTAACTAAGATTTATTCATAATTATTCTCTCTATGTTGTAATCCACTTTATTAACCTACATAAGGAAAAATTAAATACATTTAAGTATATTAAAAAGCATTCCACAAATACGGGAATGAAAATGATTTCATAAAAAAGTATTGTATAAATATATGGTAATGGATATTAAGTAATAAATAGTATGTAATGAGTACGTTTGCAGGTAATAAGCATATATTTGTACTTAGTAATAATGTAATAGAATATTGCCTTGTAATGGTAATTATTAGGATGTGAACATTGCAGTATGGCGTATATTGATTGACCAATCAACGATATTATTACATGTAATTACCTAAGTGTAATTACCTAAGTGTAGTTACAGGATGAGAGCTACGCTCGTGGTGTCCCGTCTTCCCAGCACTGTTTGTCATATAACGCTTTCAAACTACTGACGGTCTTGGCCTCCACCACCTTCTCACTTAACTTGTTCCAACCGTCTACCACTCTATTTGCGAAGGTGAATTTTCTTATATTTCTTCGGCATCTGTGTTTAGCTAGTTTAAATCTATGACCTCTTGTTCTTGAAGTTCCAGGTGTCAGGAAGTCTTCCCTGTCGATTTTATCAATTCCTGTTACTATTTTGTACGTAGTGATCATATCACCTCTTTTTCTTCTGTCTTGTAGTTTTGGCATATTTAATGCTTCTAACCTCTCCTCATAGCTCTTGCCCTTCAGTTCTGGGAGCCACTTAGTAGCATGTCTTTGCACCTTTTCCAGTTTGTTGATGTGCTTCTTAAGATATGGGCACCACACAACAGCTGTCAAAGGTTTCGTACGTATGTCATAGTTTTTGCTTTGAATGTATTGAAGAGATTGATATATTCGCACAAACCCTATAACTTGGTGTTTTTATACTCATTGAATATAATGTACATTATTTCTTCTATATTAAAATATTATAAATAGTTATATAGTGTATTTCTAATATATATATATATATTATACAATGTATAATATTTGAATGATAACCTCTATAATATATCTTTATACTTTATTATACATATTGAAGAATATATTTTAAAATTGATCTATACTATGTATAGATATATTAGTTTATATTTAACATAATAAAAATCATATAATTTTATATCTTTATTGATAATCTAATATTAGTATTGATATATCAAAACACAATTTATATATCTCAGATAAATATTATGTATATTCCAATATATTTTCCTATGATTATAAAATAGAATATATATATATATAGGATTGGACTGAGCCGTCGGTGTAGATACAGTGCTCGCATTGCATAGTATAGAGTAGTGTACTTGAGTGCCGTGTACTGCACGGTATTGTACTATACTTTGCAATAATGTAGTGTACTGTACTGCAGTATGCAATACTGTGCGGAAGTGTTCAGTAGAGTACAGTACTGTATCATGTACTGTAGGTAATTGTAATTTAGTGTAGTTGACGTTACTGGATTATATTGTATTGTAGTGTACTGAAATGTACGGTGTAGTGTACAATACAGTATTGTACATGACTGTACTGAATTATAGTGTTCAGTATTATAGTGTACGGTAGTGTTTTGTGGTGAACTGTATTGTACTATATCGTAGTGTACTCTTGTATATTGTAGAGTACTTTACTGTAGTGTATTATATTTTACTGTAGTGTACCGTACATTAATGTACTGTAGTGTACGGTACTGTACTCCACTTTACTGTAGGGTACTGTAGGGTTGTCTATTGTACTGTACAGTAGTGTGCCGTTGGGTGTTGTGTATGGTACGGTACTGTACTTTAATGTAATGTATAGTACTGTATTGTAGCGTACGGAACTATATTCTACAGTACTGTAATGTATAGTAGTGTAATGTATGGTACCGTACGGAAGTATATTGTACTTTGTTGTACTGTACTTGTAGCTTGAATACGTATTGTTAATATTTAATCATTAAAATAATACTTAAATAATAATAAGTAATCCAAAGTCATCATTTGTAAGTGTAAAGTCAAACATTGTTTCTCATAGATGTGTTATATGTATGTTTCTCATACATTGGGTATACTTATGGGTGTATATATTTGAGTTCCAATATATAATTGTCATGAATGACTAGAGTATCCAATTAGGTGTAGCGGACCAATGAGAGTAGAGCTTGCGAGAATGTGACGTCAAGTGAAAAATCGAAAGGTGATTGGCTGTTGAGTCGACTTGGTGTGTGAGGCTCGACGGAACGTTATTTTGACCCCAGTATTGGCATAGTTGTGGTGTACAAGTTAGTGTTAGGGCGTGATGTTACTCTGAGCTGGTACCCCGTTACCCTTTGGGGTCGCTAGGGCTGACAGACCCCCTAGCTTACGCTCATTTTGTACACCCTCAAAACGCCAATACATAGGGTCAAAAATATAGTTTACAGGTGCCGTATATATACCCTCTTGTGGGAGTCTATATATATAGGCAGATAGTTATTCCTGATCCCTAATCAGTATTTATATATTTATAAATGTATTGAATTGTAATTTGATTTATTTCAGCGGTATTGTTATTGAACGAGGCAATGGTTGGAAGATGAGGCATCGCGTGAAATGAGGAGACTGGCGAGTTAGGAATGTGGCGGAGACACCCCCATTGTGATGGAACCAGTGGTTGAGCGATGATTGAAGTCAGACAGTGGCGAGCAGAAGTTGTTGGGAGATGTGCTACTCGAGTTAGCCGATATGGAGGTGAGAGTTTAAGGCAAGTAGTTAATGAATACCTAGTTTAAGTTATAGGCATGGTAATATTTGATTAAGATAGGCTAAAGTGAGTGAAGTGGTTAATAGTATTAGCTGCTCCGAGGGTGTCAATGCCAGAGGTAACAGCTGCAAAACGCTTTGACTATGGAGGTTTGACGAGTGTTTAGAATTGTAATTTGAAATGAGGTACATGAAAATAGTATAGTGAAAGTACAGGTTTTAAGTAAAGGTATGATATAGGGATGATTGAATAATTGATATTGGGGTCCCTGCCAGAGACGCTTCAAGTTACGTGTTCGTGAAGAGTTGTCAGTGAGTGTCGGAGTAGTCTTATAGAATGTTCGTGGGGATAGGTTGTAGGTTCGGTCACTTTACTACAGTGTAAAGGTGGGGGTGTTTATAAATGTGGGGATTTGAACGTCACGTTGATGCGGCGTACAGTAGTTATTCAACTAGAATGTGTTTTGGAAGTTATGTGACAGGAAGGTAGGTTTGAATTAAATAATGTTGACGTTATGAAAGATTTAATAATGAAGTTTAACTAACATCGTAAGTTTGGTATTTTTTGGGATATAATAATTGGTTACTTTTGTCAACGATGACGTGAAATTAGTTAACATGTAATTTAGTGTAGCATGTTGCCGTGAGAATTTGGTGCAAGTAAACAAAGTAATGACTGTTACTTGGAAACGTTAGCCTCGTAATGGAAGTACGTAAAGTGTTGAACCCAAGCTTACACAGGTGTTTAAGTACTCACTTTACGTGGCCACTAAGGCCAGTGTACCGGGCCTAACGGAGTCGTGTATATTGAAGCGGCACCCACTCGATGTCTAGGTAAATAAATGTAGGTGATGAAGATAGGGCGTGGTGGACGTAGATATGCGGCATGCAATAGATAAGTGTGTGGGTTGTGGACTACCAGAGTTGGACATTTATGTGGCGAAACAAGTGTCAGTTTGAGGACTACAGCCTATAAGCGCCCAGATATTGGTGTTTTAATTTAAAAGTAAAGAGTGAACACTTTAAAAGTGGTGTAAGAATCACAATTATCAACTAAAAGTTTACTATATTTTGGGTGTAGGATGACTTCCAGAAACGTTAAGAATACTGAATAAGTGTGGGTAGGCTTTGGCCTCACAGTTCGCGCGTTGTTTCTTTAAAATGGATTTGTAGTGGTGTTCCCCCTCCCCCCCCCTTTCCTAATCATTTAATTGCCACTTAGGTCACCAGACCACTTGAGTACATAATTGTTAACGTATGAAAAGGGGGGGGGTGGTGGAGTTGAAAATCCGTTGGCTTGACGTAGACATATTGAGGTGTAGGTTGTTTGACGTAGAGCTTAGAGCTGCTAGTAAGTAAAAATATTCAGTTGCTTATTGTAAGTAAATAGGTTTATAATGTTAATGATAGTGCATAAAATAAGCGTGACTTCAATAATAGGTCGTAAAATGAATGTTTGAATTATTCTCAATGATATGGATGGAATGTAAATGTTACGGTCACTTGAGTAAATTTGAGTGGAAATGTGAGGCTTGTGGCAGTAATTATTGAATAATATGTAGGTGGGTGGCGATGGTACAGGGGGGGGGTGTGGGAAGGGATATTGATGTGTTTTTAATTGTGTAATGAGGGATAGCGCGTGTTGTAATAGTATAGGCAGAATTGAAAGGAACATGTCGGGTTTGTTCGTCATTTGGAAATGTAAGTTTGTTTAACTTGAGTTTGAGGTATTGTTGGACGGGTGTTGGTTGTGGTGTGTATCAATAAGTATATTGTTGTTAATTGAGAATTGTGTACTTGGACGGGATGTGTGTGGGTGGAAAGTTGTCGGTTAATGTGTGGCGATATAGGTACTATTAGTGGTAGTTATTGATGAGTTAATGTTTGGTAGCCAGGACTGTAAGATACGAAATGAGACGGTGAGGGGGATGGTAATTTTGCGGGATGACTAAACTGGAATAATAAAAAAAGTAGCGCTTAGCACTGGAAATGTGTGTACAGTATAAGAAAAAGGGTGACTAATGTATATTTTGTATAAATTATTGTTTGGGGGGGGGGGGGTTGTCATGGTTGGGGTTTGATGGTAAGTTATAGGAAAGTAGCACTCGTCGGAGGTGGAACATGTTGCTATGTATTGTTTTCTCGTGTACCAACTTATTAACACTAACAATTTTGATTTTAAATGTTAGAGGTTGAAATATAGAATGATTGTTAAACCTGTTAAAATGGTTTATCTCTCAAATCGAAAATCATTACATTTTCGTCATTGTTCATAGATGGTTGTATGGCATAATAGGAAATGTTTGTTCTGATAAGTTGATCGATATTATTGATATGCAGGAGGTGAGCGTTTGCAGAGGTTTTGGGTTTGCGGAAGAGAACGATGAAGTATCTATTTGTGGCGACACCGGCAGGGGTTGAAAGGACGAGGAACGGCAGGGTCGAGAGTAATGGAATAGGGCGTGACCTTGAGGCGAGTCTGTTAATTTCAATATCTTAAAATTCCCCCCCCCCCCCTCTAACAATTGTTAGGTAGTACATAACACTTAAATCACCACGTGTTGTAAATATAAATCGTGATGTACGCATGTTGTGTAGTTTGAGCATTATAGGTGATGAGACCCAGAATGAGTAGACGGAAGAAATATTGATATTATAGTTGAAAAGTGTTGAAGCCTTGAAGTGTGTGTATGCGAATGGTAGACGGTATTGCTCTAGAGGCATAGATGGTGAAATATAGGTGGAGGCGCTCACACAGTTGGCTGACAAGAGATGGTTAGATGGCAAGAGGGAGACATCGTGTGAGGTAGGTGGACATGGATGTTTGTTACATCGTTATGAATGTCCCATTGGATAGTTTCCTTCAGGCGTTCCTGTGCATTATGGAAGGTTCCCCCCCCCCCACCCCACCTCCCCCTGTGTAGTTTATAGAAATGTTGGTGTATTTGATATAATAATGGTGATAATGAGTGTTTGTATTCATCATTATGAACATTGTTATCCTATAATGTCGTTTCGCAGGCGAGAGGCTTGAGTACCCGAGACGTGGAGAACATGGTGTGTAGGTACTTTCGGGAGAGACCTGCAAGTGTTGAAGGTGGAAGTTGACGTGTTCCATACAAGGTACGAAAGAATAAAATGTTGTTGTAAATGTTTATTGTAGTGCACAGTCGTTGAGCATATAGTTTGATGGTTAGATATGCAGTATGTTTAGTTATTAAAGTTTAGTATAAATAATTGAAAGTGAAATCCATGAAATGTTGTTTGTGGGGGGGTGGCTGGGGTAAAGACGCGTCGTTACTCTGATCATAGATGTCAGTAGATGTGTGACTGGTAAGTGAATAGTTGTGCCGCAAATAATGGACAATTTGGGAATCATAAATGAATACATAGTTGTAGGGAATAAAGTTAATATGAAATATGGAGTGTATAGAAGAAAGTAGGTATATAAATGTAATATGATAAAAGTGAGTTAAATAATGAAGTTAAAATTGATATAAATTTAAAGCAGACGTTAATGTCGTTGATCCTTTAGTGTAAAAAAGAAAACAAGGTTAAGGTTGGGTATTTGTAGAATATATATAATTGCAACCTAAATATTATAATCGATAGGTTTTTGAATGATAGAATAATAACCAAATATATACCAAGCAAATATATAGGCAATTGTTGTTTTTTAGATTGTGGAGATCATGGTTTATTGGTAGAGGAAATCGGAGCCAGCGGACTTTGACGTACAAGGGAAGCAGAGGCTGATGTGCAAGAAAGAAGTGTTGAAGACAAGGATGACGCGACCCACACCGTGAAGAAGTGAAAGGAGTTGAGAATTGCGAAGATATGAAGTTACATTAGAGAAATTTGGTCCTGAATGAATAATGTGTACACTAGTAAAGATGAATGTGAAATGAAAGTTTAAATTTCATTTGTTAGGTGGAAGCGGAGTGTGTTAGAGATGCATTTAATGTTGAGATCATAATGTAGTCGTAGTGAGTGAGAAGAATGTATTTGTTTTGGCCTTAAGTAGTATGTCCTGAAACAGTGTTCCGATGATAGATGGGCCAAAATGTGTTTGTTGTGAAACCCCCTCAGTGTGTTGATTGTTGTCACCGTGAGGGGGCTTGGTGTGCAGCTGCCGGAGTGTGATGCTCTGTAGGTCAGTCCTCTGTCCTTTTACAGCCTTATGCTCCTGCTGCTGCCTTTACCGCTTTTGGTGGTGGCCATAACTGTACTGCTGTTATTTCGTTCGTCCCCCTAGTTGTTTCGTCCCCTATGCATTGTTCTGATGGCAGTGTTGTTTGTTGGTAAATGTTATACAGTGTGTTCCATTTATCTCTCTGGAAATGTCCCATTTTTCGTTACTGATGTTAAGCACCTCCTGGACGCCTTGGCAGAGGCTTTGGTGGTTGTTTGTGAACTGAACGGTCTCGGGTGATGTTGTGAGAAACACCCGAGAGCGTGTTTTGGAACCGTTCGTCGTCGCTTTGTTTATCTGTTCTGGATTTTGGTGAGGCCAGTCGTGTGGACTCTTGGACTCGCACCCTTTCCTGTGTTGATATTTGTGTCTGGTCGTCGTGCGTGTACTTAGAATTGACGTTGTATGTTTTAGGTGACCTCGATAAGTGATGATTTGGTCATCCTCGTTTCGTTTTTGTTTGGGCACTCCTGTTTCGTTCCGTAGGTGTTAGTGTGGTCTGTGCGTGTTCCTGGCGGCCTCGTCCTTTTTTGAGTGTCTTAACGATGCCGTCAGGTGTATCCCTTGCTGTTCCTTCCAGGGCACACGGAAGTGTTCGCAGTTTTGTCATGTGTGGTTGTCATGTTTGTCACTCTTTGGTAAGTGTGTTGTTTAATGTTATCCTTTAGATGTTCAAAATTGTGTCCGGCTTCACTATAAGGATGCTTTCTGTATTGTTTAAATTGTGTGGGCCGGCCCTGTGCGGATGTAGGGCAGCGGGCTGTGATGACGTTAATTGAGATGCAGGCGATGAGTCACAATAATGTGGCTGAAGTATGTTGAGCAGACCACACACTAGAAATTGAAGGGACGACGACGTTTCGGTCCGTCGTGGACCCTGTTAATTGAGATGCTTTGCCATGTGGCTCTGTGCACGTATCATGATTTATTGAATGTGCATAAGGAGGTGTTTTAAGTGTTCGTTTTTTGAGGCTTGTATGCCGTTGTACTCGTTAATGGGATACCGGGGTGTCTGTGTACGTTACCAAATGAGTTCCGCGCTATTTGCCTCAGGGGTTGTTTGCAAGCTGTTTGAGCGTATGTCAAATGTCCGTGTGAAGTTGTTGTTTTGAAGAGCATCACCACGTGTCTCCTCGTGAAGATTGGTTTTGCAAGTGGTGCAGGACGAGTGATGTCCTGGTGACGTTTGAGGTGTATATTGGTAGTAGTGTTGCTGCGAAGAGCTCCGTTGTTTTATTTTTTGACGTTGAAAATGGTTATGGGAGGACTTTGAGATAGCATATTGTGTATGAAGTTCGCTGTTTTGTCGTTCGTGGTAATATCCCTCTGTTCGTTGAAAGGTTTGTCTCGTCGTAGCTTTAGAGTCCGGCTTGGTGCCACTGTGTCTGGCTGTTTTCGGCAGTTTGAAGATGTGGGCCAAGGTATTGTTGTGAGTAGTAGTATTAGTAGTATTTTTGTATCGTGAGTAGTTTGTGTGGTTTTCCTGAATGGTGTCGTTTCCTGCGTTCGTTGTGGCATGATTTATGGTTTTTGTTTATGATGTTAGTGTTTGGTGTGAGGGTGATGAATGGGCTGTCGTTGAACTGGGGCTTCAAGTTTTGGTTGATGCCGTTTCATGTTTGGCTACGGATCATGGCTTCAAGTTCTTTAATACTAAGAGTTTGTATGTGAATGAGGTAGTTGTTCGTGCCTGTTTGTCACGTTATGGTCATCCCCTTGAGTACAAAGATTGGAGGAAGTTATTGTTGTTAATCTTTGACACTGGTGTGTCTTGGTCGTCGCATGTTTTTTAGGTCAGTGTTGAGTGTTGTAAGGCCCTTAACGTACTTAAGGTGTTGTCTCATACTTGTTATGGAGGAGATAGGCGCACGCTTGTATATTTGCATTGTTGTGTGTAAGGTTGAATATGGTTTGGCTGCGTAGTCTTCTGCTTGTCGTTGTAGTGTTGGCCGTTTGCACCATAGTGGGTAGCGCGTGAGGTCTGGTTGAAATCGTTCTTGTCGTAGCCTCGGGTTGTACGCTGACAGTGTCTTTGTCTGCATGATTGCCATGTTGGTTGATTTTTACAGCATCGTCAGGTGGCTGTATGTTGGTTTGAGTTTACCCTCGTGTACTTGTCGTTGCTGTTCAGGACTTTCGTGTCCGTTGGTGTCGCTTACAATAATGTGTGTTATTATATATCGTATTGTTGCCTCATTGCCCCCGTGGAGGGTTCCCCTTGGGCAATTGTGTACATATGTGACCCGCATCACTAAAGGTTTGACCCCTCGTACGTATATGAAATTGGTGTTCGTTGAGCACTGTTGTTGTCAGTGGCAGTCCGTTCCCATGTTCACGGATGGGTGTATGTGTGTTATTTGTTTGTTTTTCCTGAGGGTAGGATATTTTCAGGATAAGTGTTTTGTATTGTGTATGCTGTTGGTGTCGTTGTTTCGTGCTGTCAATCGTGGTAGTTGACTTTCGTAGTGCCCTGATGGGTTTGTGGTCGTATAATGTGGTGCAAGTGGTGGTATTGTAAAATCAAGATTGGCTGCTTGTTATGTGGAGTGAATATAAGGTTTGAGTTTTCTTGGTTCCCAGCCATGTTGGTGTATGTTTAAATGAGGGTGGTGATGCTGGGGGTAAGGACGCTATGCGCACTTGTCCCATGTTGGGTAAAGTTGTTTATTCCGACGTTGACCTTGTTATTAATGTAGCGCCGCCCTGCTCGTTATTGTCGAACATTGAATGTTTGTGTGATGGTTGTACATATCGTTCCCGGTTTGGTGTGTTGTTTTGATAATTAGTTAGAAACCGTTACTTGGTAAGATATAAGTGACAGTTTAAGAACGCGTGTTCGTTGATCATAACGAAATTAGAGACGTAGGTAACGTTGCGGGCTTTGTAGCATATGTTGACAGTGGTGTAGGTAGTTGAAATGTTATTGGGAGAGAAATGTAATAGTGTTGATGGGTTTTGCGTGGAACATGTTGTGAAAATGACATGATTTAATAATGTTTTTAAAAGTTATTACAGAAATAGAATGTGTAAATGAGTATTGCAGGTTGTTGTTGGTAAATAACATTGAGGAAGAGATTGTCATTGTTTGGCGTCGATGTTTGAAGGGTGCACGAAGAAGTAGTTTGGGATAAAATGAAGAAAAGCAATGAGTTAGACGTGTTAAATAAGAGGATTGGTATGGTGCAAATGTGACATATCGGCAAAGCATAAACAGGGAAGAACGTACAGATATTGTTTAAGGGAGGAAAATCATCCAAGAATGTATATATTGTAGAGTAAGAAGTAAGTGTGATTATAAAATAGAACTGTAAATGTCCATTGACACTTTAGTTGTAGGATGATGTAAATAACTGATTTGTAGAGTAATATTTAAAAAATTATATAATGGTTTATGTAAGAAATGTTGTATTTTAGAATCAATAATAGAAATATATAGTTTTACTACAAGTATTAATATAGAAAAAATGATATTTTAAGTGTAGATGTGAATAGTAAATATTATTGACTTGATGAACTGTACGTAAGAAGAAATAGTGAACATGTTTAATCTAAGAATAAATAAATATACTTTGTTATAAATAATGAAGATGGTTTAATATAAGAAAACATGTGAAATAGAATCTGAATAGAATATGAATATAAATGAATAGTTTTAAAAGTACAATATGAATGAGTATGTTGTAATAATAATGCAATAAACGTGAATAATATTGAAATTGATTGAATATGTATATAGAATAGTAGTGAATATGCATTAGGAGTTTCTTTGAGTATGCATTAATAGTTATAAGAAAATAGAATATTGAAAATAATATGGTATTTAAGATATCATGTATTGAGAAAGATATTAGTTTGTGGGTAATGAAGATGGTATTGATAATTGTTCTCATTAAGTAGTAAATCACTGTAGTAACATAGATATAGTTAGTCTATAAATATAATATTAAAATTGAATACACCATTAACGGGATAAAATATAATTGATGAATAAAGAACGAAAATGTTGATATTAAATAGTATTTCATATTCATTATCTGACATTTTCAGTTAATAATAATGTAATAGCAAATATTAGGATGTGAATGAACATTGCAGTATGGCGTTGATGAATCGACCAATGAACAATATTATGACAGGTGTCAGAGGCTATATTTCATATAGTTTTTGTTTGCATGCGATTAAATATTGCAATATATTTGCACAAAGGCAATAAGTTGTATTTATAGTGGTTGAAGTGAATGTACAGATATACTATATAAATAAAGTAGATATATAGAAAGGAATGTAAAATAAAGTATAATATTCCTCAGTAATCTTCAAGATTTTGTAAATAGTACTCAATTTTTAAGAATATTATGAAATAAGAATATTAGAATATATAAATTAATAGAATAATATAAATTAATAGTAATGTAAATTAGTAAAAAATATATAAGAATATTTAATAATATTGTTCAATTACAATGTAAAATATTCGTAAATATTTCATAATTATAATAGATATTGAAGGATAATATATAACAAGAAATATGCTTCAATATGTAATATTATTCCACAATATATAATTAATTAAAATAATTGTTAATGACTTATAAATATTCTTCACTATTGAATAATAATCTTGAATATTAAGAAATAATAATAAATAATACTCATGAATATGCAACATTATTGTATAATATTATTAATATACATTTATCTTCAAGAGTTTATATTATTTAAACATTATTAGTAAAGATTTAATAATAACGAATATTGTACATGATTTATTAATAATTTACAATATAAAAATATATTATCGAATATTGTGAAATATTTAACATTATAGATTATTGTTTGATAAATAATGTAAAATATTATAGAATAATCATAAGTATTTAATAATATGGTAGAATATTGAAGAGTGGTAATGAATAATGTAGAATAATTTGTAATATTGAAGAATATTATGTCATAATAATGTAGAGTATTGTATATTAATAGATAATGAAGAATAATCTTTAATACTAGTCTTCATTATTTAATAATATAGAATATTGTTAAATATTTAATATCAATATTTATGAATACTCTTAAAGATTAAAGTAAAGTAAATATACTATAGAATAATAATAAATAGTATTGACATTCGAAGAATAATGTATAATATTAATAAAATATAGAATAAAGAATAATCAACAATAATAATATTAAGAATATTTAAATAATGATATCTAACAATATTGTATAATATTTTTGTATAGAAGAATAATTATTATTGAATATTTATGTAGAATATTCTTAAATATTTAATAATATTATAATAAATAATGAATAATAATAAATTTTCCAGAATAATGTATTATAGTGATTATTGAGGAATAATGTAAAATAGTAATAATATTAATCTATAATCATTTGGATTAATAATGTAGAATATTGAATAATATTATTAGTATTCATGACTATTTAGTAATATTGTATAAGTAATGAAGAATATTTAGGATTATTATAGAATTTGCCAGATTGAATAATGTTGTACATTATTTAATAGTAATCTTAAATATTTATGAACAATGAGATTTAATAATAATCTTCAATATAATATGTAAATATTTAATAATCTCCAATATTTATTAATAATATTATACACTATTAATAAATAATATGGAATATTGAACATTATTGTATAATATTTATGAATATTGAAGAGTAATCTCGAATATTAATAAATATAGGAATATATTGTATATTATTACTAAATGTTGAAGATTAGTATAGAATAACAATATATATTGAAGAATAATCAACAATAATATTACATATTGAAGAATATTCTATAATAGGAATATTAATAAATACTGAATAATATAGAATATTATTCAATAATGAAGAATATTTTGATTAATAATAAAGAATAGTGAAGATTACTATAGAATAATAATACATAGATTCTATAGTAATCTTCACTATTCCTTATTATTCAATAATATTATTGAGTATTTATTAATATTCCTATTATAGAATATTCTTCAATAGGAATATTAATAAATACTCAATAATATTGTTATAATCATAAGGAATAGTGAAGATTACTATAATCAATATGTATTATTATTCTATAGTAATCTTCACTATTCTTTATTAATAATCATAATATATTCATTATTGAATATTAATCGACATTATTATTCAGTATTTATTAATATTCCTATTATAGAATATTATGATTATTCTTCAATATATATTGTTATTCTATACTAATCTTCAACATTTAGTAATAATATACAATATTTTCCTATATTTAATAATAATCTACATTAGTCTTCAATAATGTTCAATATTCCATAATATTTAATATATATTAAACACTATTAATATAATATTGAAGAATATCGCTATATATTATTAAATATTTATCTATAATATTAAAGATTAGTACTAAATAATGAAGAATATGTAATAATATTTGTCTATTGATTAACATTAGATGAATATTGTACAATATTTTTGTATATTTAATAATATTATACAATATTGAAGACTAATAATCAATATTATACATTTGTCAAGAATGATTATATATTCATGATTGTTAATAAATATTCCACATTGTTATTTAATATATCTGAATAGTATACATTGTTACAAATATTATTATAAATCTCAAATATTGAATAAATAATATTGTTCAATATTTATTAATAAAACAGATTAATAATAGAGTTTTTTAATATTTTATATTGAACAAAATCCTAAATAGTTGATTATTTTAGATAAATCACTATTGAAGAATATTTAGACTAATCTTCAATGTTGTAGATTATTCTTAGACTAATATTCTTGATTATTTATTATGGAAGAATATTTACAATTATTCCAATAATCCTCTTATTTACTAATACTGTACAATAATTATTGAATATTTAAGAATAATCATTACATTAATATTCAATATTTATTGTTAATATAAATTATTCTTCTATATTTAATAATAATTGCACAAATATTCTACAATAATATTAGCCAATATTGAATATTATTCAATATTCAACAATATTATGTTATTTTTTTGAATATTGAAGATTATTAGAGAATAATATTAAATATTTCACATTATTTAATAATCTTCTATTTAATAACTCTTCTTCCTAAACAATTGACATTATTCAATATTTATTATTATTCTACATTATTCTTCCATATAAAATATAGTGAAGAGTAATATTTAATAACTTATTATTCTATATTTAGTATTAATCTTCAAGATTATTCTTGAATATATTCAATATTTGTTTTAATTATTAAATAATAATTTATATCCATTAATATTCGAGAATATTACCATTAAATATTGCATAATATTCTATATTATTCATAATGTGAAGATTATTCTAAAATATTATTATTTCTATTGTTATTTTATTATTCAACATTATAATAAATGGTTGATAATTCTTCAATATTTATTGGTATTCAATAATATTCTTTATTATTAGTATTCAATAATATTCTTTATTATTAGTATTCACTAATTATTATTATTCAAGACTAATGTTCATTAATTAATAGTCTACATTATTGAAGATTCTTCTTTAATATTATTATATATATTTCTAATTACATTTTGTACATTAGTAACTATTGAACATTTGTTAAGAATAATGTAGAATAATCTGCAATATTGAACATTATTATTCTACAATATTTATTTCTATTATTCTATATTTATCTTAAATATTAGAATGATTAATATTGAAGAGTATTATTTCAGATCATTATTAAATATTGAACATGATTCTATAATATTATTATATATTTTTACAATACTCATGATTATTATTAAATATAATATTATCCATTTTTTCATTAATGTTACATATTCAACATTATTATTAAATATTGGACATAAATATTTAGTAATAAAGATTATTAAAGACTGAACAATATTCTACAATATTTTAAATATCGAAGATTATTATTATATATTCTTCTATATTTCCTATTATTCTTTTTCCTAAATATTCAGGATTCTTTCTTCGATTGTTTTTTTCCCCCATTACATAATTACTTCTAAATACATATTTTCCCAAACGTCTTCACCCATTGCTTTGCAATTCTCAAGACACGTTCATTTTCAATCTAAGCATGTTTATATATACTATATACATACATGTCACCTGTGACTCAAAACAAGACAAACATGAGGTTTTTAAAAATAACTAAACAGCAACCTTCAAGTATGTTTATTGACATGAACATATACATCTCAAAGGGATCAAGTACTTTAGGGTATTTCTGACGTTGGAACAAAACGTGCTCACATTGGGGACTTATAATGGTAAATAATACAACATGAACATAATTATTTATCTAATATTATTATTATATAATAATAAATACTATAATTATAAACATTTATTGGTAATTATTTATATAGCTATTTACGATGATTCATAAATAATTATTGACTAGTGCATAACAAACGCGCCCGCTGTAACTAGCAATGTCTCTCGACCTCATGGGTCCAGTACTCTGCCCTCGGGCTCCATCCCTTTTCCTTCTTCATCAACGGTGTACCGTGTGCGCCTTCCGTACTCGGTTCTGGAAGTATTAAGGCATTAAGGGTGGCGACAAACGGCCATGCACGATGAACGTGACGGCAAAGGAACATACCCCTTCAGGGTACTGCTCAAATTACTTTCTAAGAGGAGGGGGACATTTCACGAAGCGAACTGGGCAAGTGTAAATGCATAAAGCCAGGGTCATATCATCCACAAACTCTTAAAACCAACACTGCCACACGCAATACCAGTCACTAGAGGGGAAAGGAAGACAACAAGATCTTATAGGAAACTAGTCTCTACGAAGTAACGTAACTACAAAACCGACAAGAACTTTAGCCGGAAAACCAACACAAGTCAAAAAACTTGGGGAAACTAAATACCGTATCTGGGTCAACGCCAGAAGTTATTCCAGGCTGAGGGATGCAGCAAGTAATAATATTGTCATTTATTATTTTGAAATGAATTATACACAAATATAACAACCAAACATTCATTTATATCACAACTATGTATATATTTTCATTTCAATATATAAATAAACACATAAAACCTATTCACCCCTAACTGCAACATGCTTCCCTCCAGACTGACACGAATTATAACGATGGTAACCCACTCGGTTACAGTGATCTCCATTGTATGTTAACAGCTGTATAGTTAGCCTAACAAACTGCCTTAAGAGCCGTAAATGAGTTGAGTCTTGCAGTGTCAATGACCATTCTGCGAGCAGCAGTACCCCAACAACTTCAAGATCTGGGGAGCTGAGGAAAACAAATGGACACCAGGAACGCTAGGGATCCCTAAATGTCAATTATTTTTTCTAATTAATATACTTAAATAACGACGAAATTAGTCAACAAACTCCTATTCAATTACTACGGACGAGATGGAAATCATTTTATGACAGTACTCTCAATTACTATACCAACTAATGATTAGTATATTTTGGTAGCAGTCTTTCCTGTAGACATATTTAATAATATATGACCGAAAAAGTAAGATTAATAATTCTAACACGAATTTTCTCAATCTTTCGTACATTACGCTTCACTGTTGGAGGTAAATCAAAAATCACTTCTCCAAAAATCATTTTTATTTCGAGTCTGACGCGACACGGGCGCGTTTCGTAAAACTTGTGTATTTGTGAAGTCTTTGAAAATGTAATAAGTTTTACGAAACGCGCCCGTGTCGCGTCAGACTCGCAATAAAAATGATTTGTGGAGAAGTGATTTTTGATTTACCTCCAACAGTGAAGCGTAATGTACGAAAGATTGAGAAAATTCGTGTTAGAATTATTAATCTTACTTTTTCGTTCATATTTAATAATATACAACTAATGATTATATACATATACACACATACATTCACAAGCATTAAATACTAACTTACAATTATAACAAACTTTTCACTATTACAATGTCAAAGACAGACATAACCACTACAAGGATAACGAAAAACACAAAATACTCATTGAAAACTATTACGTCGCAGGACCATTAGCCCGCTAACACGCCGGCCCCGCCCAGCTAAGGGCTCCACACGGGTCCCGCCTAAGGGCGTAACGGACTGCCCCAGCTAATGGGCCTAGTACAAGGCCCACCAACGGCATGACGAAAAATTACAGACAAAACCATAACAAGTAAACCAGAGGGACGGTAGGAGTAAGGCGACTAAAACACGGACCTAATATTTATTTATTTAAATAACTCGTAGTAGTATGATGCACTAGCAACTGTATAAATAGATACATAAGTACATGTCCCACACTGGGGAGGAGCAAGTAAGCAGGGAAACCGTAACCTTAACAAACCAACAATAACCTAGCATGCACAACACGAACACTAGTCGTCAACAAGGAAAAATTAAGGCCTTACCAAACAACACTTGCCAATTGTAAACTCTCAAATCCTGCCTCTGAACATCAGCTGGAACACCTCCAGCTGGACATTGCCAACTCGTGCATCAACATCTGCCAAACATAAATAAATACTGCCAACTCCCCACCAGGGAAAACTTCGGTTATAAGTAAAACTCAAACTGAAAGACAATTAGGGACCATATACAACCTGGGAGCCAACAACGGAATGGACAGTATCCTCGCCCGCTGCCCAACATACAAAATTACCGGAAACGAGCCAAGCAGGAAACTCAAGCAGTAAGGGAAGTGCGACTCAATAACAGATCATGCTCAAATTAATGCTGGAATATAACTCTTTACAGAAAACGTGATTAATGCATGAAGCTTCAATAAATTATAATCAAATACAATAAAGTGAAACGAATGCTAATACGCACAACGTCGCCTGGCACGCTTCTGCTTTAACTTCTGGGGCTACCGCGACGGCACCTGGACCCTTGGGAGCTGGAACGCACTACGATGGGCATTATCACTTGGGACCGATTCAACTCGAACATCAGGAACAACTTCAGCCGTAGCATGGGAGCTGCTCCAACAACCGCTGAAACTCCAGCAGCTGGACCATGTTCCACCTCAACACCAGGAAGCTCTGACAGCAACTGCTGTACCCACACCAGCTACAACACCGACTGCCGGGAATGTCACCAGCCGGAACACCAACAGCTGCACCACCTGGACACCAAAATTGAGCAACAACGTAGGAAGACTGCCGGCTAGGGCACACGGCTGGACCAGCTGCAACAGACAAAACCGAGCATCGGCCGCTACAACACACTGACACGTCGCAGGAAGAACATCGGCAGGACATCAACCCCTCAACGAACGCACCTAAGACGTCCGTGGCTCTGATAACCTACCGGGCAGACAAAATGTGTGTATAAACAACCAGCCGGGACACTGCAGATTCTTTCGGCCTACACCGGCCAGACAAAAAAACTTAAAACGTTTACTGGTACTGATAAACGAAACTGGTACTGTCTACCTCTCAGTACTTAATGACAAAGTAAAACAAAAAAGTGTAAAGGTCAAACGGTAAGTCAAATGACATGCACTTATGCATTGATTAACTACCAATACATTCCTGATGGAACTATTCATAATACGAGTCAAAGATAAACTTAAAGGGAGTCATGAGGCCCGAACACAGCGTCTAGGATATCCTACCTGACACACTTAAAGGTGAACCATAAGTTCAACAAACATTTGTAAACCAGTAAAGTAAAAACATGCAGCAACAGCGATGTAAAATGCACGAAATTTGCACACGAAACTACACGTAAATGCACGGCCAGGATAAACTTAAAGCAAGAGGCAAGGGCCCTATCCCTGCAACTATCACATCCAAGCTGACTTTACATAATAACTTAAAGGCAAACCACAACTTAAACAATTGTAAAACCAGCAAAAAAACATGCACCTTGACACTGCATAAAATTCATTACTAAATTAAGGAAACTTATCAAAAATACACGTCCATGAACAATTAAAGCTAGGGACCCGAGGCCTGTCACACAGCACCTAGCCTAATCTACCTGACTTTGCTTATCGGTTTTAAGTTAGTAGGTAAAATGTTAAACATATTTGTAAACAACTAATATATCAACACATCCAGCAAGACGCTGCATATTTTGCGGGAATACTTGGCTCATGTAACTAAACGTAAATGCAGGGCCACTATTCTTAAAGCAACAGGCAAGAGGGGTGGGGGGCCCTACTCCGCGCCTATCACAGCCTAGCTCAGTTACTTGATAACTTATTGGCAAACAATAGTTCAACAATCACAATTGGAAAACAAATAACAGTAAAGAACGTGCAGCATGACCCCCATAAATTGCAGTAATAAATTGACCTCAATTAATGGTACGCAATACCAAGATATTCTTAAAGTCAAAGGCACGAGCCTTGTAACTCACGAACTACCACAATCTAGGTTACTTTACTTAATAAATATTTCAATACAAGAAGCCAGACTTTTAATAAGTTAATACATGCACGGGCCAATGCATCAATTCTAATATTCAAATGCACAGATAAGTAATTATCAAAAGAAGGCACCAAACCGGGAAGGCTATCTAGCACCATCAAATGCGCTAAATATCACCAAGGATGCCAATAACAGATCAAAAACCCACAACGCGAACGATATCAAAAGTATCCGGGTCACCAAGATTTCTATTGAGGGACAGGTGACCGCGAGGGGCGGTCGGAAACCAAGACGCACCCTCGTCCTACAAGTCACCACATTCAAGGAGGACATGCACGACCGTAAGACGGACAATGCAGCAACGACAATAACGACCAGGGCGGCGCTCCATCAAGTGACCATGGCTTAAGCGAGTATGGCCAATACAAAACCTCGCAACACCTGTTTCCCATCGCAACCTACGGTGGTAGGAGGACGGCCACGACCAAACAACATTTCAGACTACGTACTTTATTAACAATAACAGTCGACCAGCAAGCCGGCCAACGGTTAAGCACGGAGGAATGGATAACAGTAAAAGTCGGAATATGGAATACCTTCACGACAGATGAGACATGACCGGACAGCTTCCTTGGCGGAACAATCCGCACGCTCATTTCAAGACACACCAATATAGCTGCGAACCAAACAAAACTCAACCAACTTCAATTTACTGTGAACGACAAACAGCAAATGCTGAATCTCGACAAATACTGGATGAGCCGGATTAAAGCACCCGAGAGCCATGAGGCCACTACGAGTCAACAACAACTACAAAGGAACACTGACAACGACAAACCACGAGACGAAAAGCATACACAACAACATACAGCTCTGCTGTAAAGATGATAGTCTCCGGAAGTAAACGACACGTAAGTGCCATCAGGAAAAACAACATTACGATACACCCTCCGCACACTTAGACCCACCGGTGAAGACAGACATCGAGGGGGAGTGAGAAGATAAGTGCTCAAGGGAAACACCTTTTAGAACCGTACGAGGGGTAAAACCTTTAGTGATGCGGGTCAAGGATGCACAAAACCGTGGAAGAGGCACTCTCCACGGGGGCAAAGAAGCAACAACACATGCAGAAACATTAGAAATACGAACGGAAAGACAATCCTGTACGCAATATAACCGGACATAAAAAGGGAGGTGGTGAAGAGCAAAACAAGCCGCACGAGGGGTCAAACTTAAAGCACCACAGAGCCGAGAGCAACGATGTTGTAACGATTGCGCAACATATCCAACACAGTAGCCATCACGCCGCTCCTGGAGACACGAAGCCAGTCTCAGGTTGTATGTTAAGGACGGGAGTCCAACGAAAGTCACCACAACTCAGGCGCAACCCAGTATGGTGCAAACCATCAACACGGCGAACAGTAAGTAGGGCAACCATAATCGAGCTTACACACGACGACAGAACAATGTAAACCAAGGAGTGCACGCCTATCTGCCCCAAAAAAACTATGGGACAAGACCCCAAAGGAGGGTAAGGGCCTTAGAGCACTCAACACCGAGGTAACAGATATGGGGAGACCAACACAAACGAGTGTCAACCAATAACCCCAAAACATTCCCGGGTTCTTTGTACTCAACGGGATGACCAAAAAGGGACAAACAGGGCCGAAGAACGACACGTTTCAGCGTAAAAGTCATGGCACAACTCTTACAAGTAGACAACTTCAAGCCATGATCGGTGCTCCAACACCACACGGCATCAATTGCAACTTGAAACCGGCGCTGAAGGGGAGCCGATTCATCACCCTCACACCAAAGGCTAAGATCATCGAGAGAGCGGAGAAGACGCCGGAACCAACAGACCAAAGAACACCATTGAGGGCAACCACAACAAGAGTACTGCTCAGAACCATGCCCTGGGGCACACCTTCGTATTGCTCAAAAGAGGCATAGAGCGCAGTACCAACGCGCATCCAAAACGAATAACGAAACAGGAACCTGCGGAGAAAGAGACGGAGATTACCACGAAGGCCAAAAGAATGAAGCTGGGACAGATTATGATATCGCAAAGTGGTGTCGTAAGCCTTCTCCACCTCAAAAAGGACGGCAACAACACAGGTCTTCGCAGCAAAAGCAGTACCAATATAGACCTCCAAGTTCACCAGGACATCTCTCGTGCTGCGGCACTTGCGGAAACAAATTTCAGAAGCGGAGAGCAGCTGATGGTGTTCCACGAGCCACATCAGACCAACATTAACCATACGTTCAAAGAATTTCCAGACAACTTGTGACAGCAATAGCGCGAAAGTCCTTAGGGGAAGTACCCACACAGCCTGGTTTCCAAACAGGGAGGACAACGCCATCGAGCCACTCCTCAAGGACTGACGACGACTCCCAGATCCCATTATACAGACTTAGTAAATACCGAGACGTGCACGGAGGGAGATGGCGAAGCATCTCAATGAATAGCATTGCAGGCCGCCGCCGTATAACCGCAGAGGGCCACCCCACAACGAAGTTCAGAGAGAACGGATCATTATACGGAAGCTCAAGACGAGTGCAGAAATCTAAAGGACGAGACTCAAGGACAGGTTTACGAACAACGAAAGAATGGGGGAAGATGAACACCAGAGCTAACACAAGAAAAGTGCCAACCAAATTCAGAAGCGACCTGCAACGGGTCCGCCACAACACTACCACCGAGGTCAAGGACCGGTGAAACATCACGAACGAACTTGGCCGCTAGCTTCCGGATACGCTTCCAGATCTGGGGCACAGGAGTTTCCGATGTATTTGTTGAGACATAAGATACCCAACATTCACGTTTAGCCGTACGGATGGCCCTACGGGCCACCGCACTGTGTTTCCGAAACAAAAGATTCGCCCGTCTGCCGACGGCGGTCCCTCTTCCAGGCAGCAAGCTTACAGCCCGAGCACAATCCGCATTCCACCAGGGAACGCACTTCCGCCGACCAACACAGGAAGAGCGAGGAATACAGCTGAGGGCATCGTTGAACAGTCATGAAAAACGACGAGAGCACGAGGTAGAGGCAGAAGGGAGAGGTCAGAGAGCACCACTGAAGGTAAATGGGTTCAAGTCCATCCTTAGCAAACTGCCACCTAGGGAAGGAAAGAGAAGGGAGAAAAGAGAAAGGAACCAAGGATGGGGAAATGATCAATGCCATCGACGTCATCAACAATCTGCCACGTGAAATCTAAGTAACGAGAACAAAACCACAATCATCAAGACAGGAAAGGGTAAGAGTCCCAGAGTCTAAGGCCTCACCAAAATTCAGGAGACACGGAACAACAGAGCATACAGGGCTCAACAAGGCGACCTCGGGTATTCCTCACAACATCACCAAAAACACAATGACGACAATTTAAATCACTAAGCAGGAGCACAGGCTCCGGCAAGGACTCCAGGCGGTGTTTCAAATCAGGAAAAGAACGCGACACACTCGGAGGGGGGGGGGGGGGAGATAAATGGAACAAACTGTACCATTTCCCAAAAACAGATACGAGCTGCACAACAATGGAGACGCGGAAGAACAAATAACCGGACAAAGAGAACATGACCGCGAATCAAGACAGCACATGAATCAAGAGCCTGCAACGGGTCCCCACAACAGTACCACGGGAGGAGGAACGAATAGCCACGAAAACGACCAGGACGAGCACCAACCATCACCTCCTGGAGACACACACAAAGGGGCCAAAACCGCGAAATTATAACTTTGACTTCGAGGAAATTGCCGGAAAAACATAGAACGTTCAATTCAAGAATATACTTCTACGAAACGAGAAAGACAACAACAGAACAAGGAAGAAACAAAGGCGAAAGAGCAACACAGCCCGTTAAAGATTATCAGCCTCGGGATCAGGGGCTATGGGGAAACTGAGCAAAGACGGAGGCAAGGAAGAGGGAGAACAGACCACAGGTGGGCGGCCGGGGTCCGGAGGAGGACGAACAGGAGGAAGAGGGGGGGGGGGGAAATGGGGGGGGGGGGTTAGATAGAGGGGAGCGCACCTCAGCAAGAACAGCAACCGAGAGGGAAGCAGGGCCAAAGAAACCTCAATAGCAGGAACAGGGGGCGCAACCACTGAAATGGGAGGGGAAGGAGCAATACAGCCAAAAGTAGGGGCCCAGGAAGAAAGCGAAGCCTTCTTACCCGCCGGGGAGGAGGGAGGAGACGAGCCAGGCTTACGCTTCTGACTTAGGTGTCCCAGCAACTACATACCGGGCAACGGATTCCAGCGTCTCAACAGAACCTGAAGGAGAGTACACGACAAATTAGGCGAGCGATGGACATCCGCCTCCACCAACAGGCGGCGGGGAGACTCAATAGATGGAGAAGGAGAATCGGAGGGAGACGAGGAAGAAGACACAGGAGACATGACACACCCTGTAAAAGAAGAGGAACCCAACAGAACCAGGAGGGGGCACCCTTTGGGACAGAACCCCAAGGAACAGAGGGGGCAGTGGGTGTATGAGGGTCCAAGGCGTGGAAACGGTTGACAGTCTGATGAAGGTGGGAAGGAGGAACAGAGGAAGAGCGCAACATTGCTTATAGATTTCTCTATATACAGAGAAAAATGATTTTCAAGTCAACACTTTTACACAACTTTATGATTCACAGGTTAAGGCTCTTCACTTAAATGAAATCCCTCGCTATGAGCGCCCCGATATGCCTGTAGTACTTGTCAAAGTGCCACTTATTTCAGCACCTCAATGTCAACCTCGTACAATCACCCTCCAACTCCCTTATTCCACAACACCCCCACACAACTATTGCATGCCGCCAATCTACTCCCTTCATCCATTTTTTTACATTGTTCAACTTAACAAAATGCAACCAAATGCCGTCCACCACGCCCTATTGTCAGCACGTAAATTTACTTACCTGTACCTCGAGTGAATCGCTTCAATATTCACCACTGCGTTAAGCCCGGTACACTTGCCTTACTGCCAACGTTATTACCTACTTGCTTTAACACTTATGTAGGTACGGTCAAACAGTTAATCGAAGGACGTTATGAGGCTTTCGCGGTATTTTATATGCATACTCATACCCTCTATTCAATTTATCGTTTCCCAATAGCAACAATGTTAATACTTCCTACTTTGTGTTATTGTAGCCACTTCTCCCTGCAACATGCGACACTGACTAAATTACATGTTAACTAGATTAACCTCATCGTTGATAATTTGTAAATGATTATATCCAAAACTAACACTAACTTTTTTCAACTTCATTGATAAATCTTTCACAACGTGAACACTAAATCTTGCCAAACTAGCTTCCCGTCACAGTCAAATTCCACAATTAACTACTCTGTTTCAATGTCACGGTGAGGCGCCAGCCACAAAACAAACACTCACCTTTACACTCTAGTAAACTGGCTAAACCTACAACCTATCTCCAAGAAATTTCTACAAGACTACTCACACACTTACTGCCAAGTGTTCACGAATAATGAACTTGAGTCTCACTCTTCAACTGCCACACAGCCCAGGGGTCCTCCTATCAGTCCGGTATTACCTGCAACAAGCCAACAGTTACCTGATACTACAAATATAAATTATTCAATCATGCCTATACCAGACCTTTATTTGCAACCTCCACCTACTGAAAATAAATTAATTTCATGTACCTGCTCATTTCAAATGCATATTTTAAAGCCATACATACAACCGGGATAGTAAACAGCTTTTGCAACTGTTACTTCTGGGTTTACACCCTCTGACCAGCCTAATACTATTAATAAATATGTAGCGAGACTGAAGTTATGTGCTCGTCCAGTTTTAAATTAAAAATGCTAAAGAACCCCTGAACACGTTTGAACGGCTTCGTGCGGTATCCTAATAAAATATTAACATGCCTCTTTAAACCAGTTATTGAATACCTAGTTAAACTCATGCTAACATATGTAGCACATGCAGCCAAACCTCGACATCTGGAACCACCTTCTCGGCATCGTCTAAGACTTGATTCATCGGTCCACCACTAGTTCCATCACAACGGTAGTCTCCTGCACATGCCTACATCACCACTAGGCTACTTTCAAGCGATGCCTCTTCCAACCATTACCTCATTCAGTTAATCCCCCTGAAAATAATAACAGTACAATTAAATACATATTTATACATTTGTTTAGTACTGATTAGGAATCATGGCAAAAATTAACTGCCTATATATATCCCCAAAGAGGGTATATACGCCAGTTGTAAAATAGATATTTGATATTTTTGACCCTATGTATTGGCGTTTTGAGGGTGTACAAAATGAGTGTAAGCTAGGGGGTCTGTCAGCCCTAGCGACCCCAAAGGGTAACGGGGTACCAGCTCAGAGTAACATCACGCCCTAACACTAACTTGTACACCACAACTTTGCCAATACTGGGGTCAAAATAACGTTCCGTCGAGCCTCACCCAGCAAGTCGACCCAACAGCCAATCACCTTTCGATTTTTCACTTGACGTCACTTATCGCAAGCTGTACTCTCATTGGTCGGCTCCACCTAATTGGATACTCTAGTAATTCATGACAATTATTTAGTGAAACATATATATACACCAAAATGTATAGCCAATTTATGAGAAACATACATATACCAAATGTATAAGAAACAATGTTTGACTTTACACTCACAAATGATGACTTTCGAATATTAATAAATAAGTATTATTACATTGATTCAATATTATTCATACTTATTCAAGCTCTAAGTACAGTACAGTACACTTCCGGACGCTACGATACTGTACAGTACAGTTCCCTACCGTACAAGAGAGTACAGTACCCTATGATACACAACACAGAAGGGCACAGTACTCTACTGTACAATAGAGAACAGTACAGTACACTACGAGGTACAGTATAGCACCGTACAATACTCTACACTACAAGGTACAGTACAGTACCGTACACTACACTACAATGTACAGTACCCTACACAACCGTACAGGGCACTCAAGTACAGTAGTGAATAGTACACACAAGTTCAGTACCGTACAGTACACTACAATATGCTACACAATAAAACATTATAATGCAGTGCAATACAGTATAATACACTACGGGACAGTGCAGTACACAAAATTGCACTACAGAGCATTCCAGTACAGTACCGTACACTCACACTTCGTTACTTGCCTTTAAAATCTACCAAGGGCATCACCATTATAATTTTCTCTACTTAAATAACTGTTTCTTGAACCTAACAGCGCGTAATAATCACAAATTATACGTGACATGGGGAGGGACGACATTCCTGCAATGGCTGTGTTTGGCAACTGACGCTATTATTGATTTATATACAACGAGGAACATTGCGTTTGTGAGAATACATAGCCTAGTATTTACCATCGTGTAAAGCCACTAATACGCGCTACTATCACTAACGACCATTCTTATTGCATTATTACCTTTGAACCTGTTCAGTTTCCTCTCTAAACAAGACCAATGTATATTTATATACGTGATTTAAGCCTTACATGCACATTGGCACTAGTAATAACGATTATTTAACATGCAATCAAATAGTGTTTTACACATGGAAAGTCATCAGTCATTTTCAATAATATAGATCTTGTGCGTTACAGTTTCATTTGAACTCTTGTGAGTCGTTTTTAGAGAATGACGCTATATTATGCTATGTTAAGGTAAGCAAGCTACGCTACACTGGACTAGGGTATGCTAGGTAAGGTTAGATACAGTACCGTAAAGTACAAGCTACAATACATTGAAGTACACTACCCTACAATACATTACAGTACCGTTCACTAGAGTAAAGTACAATACAGTATAGGACAGTGCACCAAAGGGTACACAGGATACAATACAGTACATTACAGAACACTATAGTATAGTACAGCATAGTGCACACCAGTACAATACATTACAGGAAAGTCAAATAAAATACAAAGTATTGTACTGATTTGTACATACAAGTAGTGAAAAAATTTATACTGGAAAATCTTCTAGAAATCCTACTACAAATCTTACAAGAAATTTCCAAACAAATCCTACTAGGATTCCCCTAAAAATCACCTATCAATTTTACTAAAAATCCTACTCAACAATTGTACTGAGAATCCAACTACAAATCCTAATAGGAATCCTAGTATAAATCCAACTACAAATACCTTGAAAGGCTACTAAAATCCCCTAGAATTACTATTAGGATTCATAATATAAATCACCTATAAATCATTTAAGCAATGCTACAAAAAAGAGACTATAAAAAGTATCTGGATTCCTACTACAATTCAACTATCAATCCTACTAGGAATCTAACTATAAATTATATTACAATTTACCTTCAAATACTACTATAAATCCAAATATTTTCTTAATTATTTATTAATATTCTTCAATCTATGAAAATGTTAGTTTGTGCATAACCGATAATCAACTTAAAATTTCAAGGCCATTGGTAAAGAACTTGACACAACGTTGCCTTTGAGTAGCCGGTTTTTTATATATATATATATAATATATATATATATAATATATATAATATATATATATATATATATATATATATATATATATATATATATATATATATAATATATATATAAATATAATATATATATATAATATATATATATATATATATATATATATATATATATATATATATATATATATATATATATATATATATATATATATATATATATATATATATATATATATATATATATATATATATATATATATATATATATATATATATAATATATATATATATATATATATATATATATAATATATATATATATATATATATATATATATATATATATATATATATAATATATATATATATATATATATATATATATATATATATATATAATATATATATTAATATATTTATTTTTATATATATATATCTACTATATACATGCCACACCTGTGACCGGTAAAACTGATTTTGTTCAAAACCCCGACATCTGTTGCATGTCAAACCAACACATACTAAATATGTTAGAATTCCATTTAAATGTTTCTGATTGTATGCAAATATCATTGCATTCTCATTTATGTGAATTTCAATTTAATTATTTGCTGTGAATTGCATTCGAATTGAGCCGTGTTGTACCATACCAATCATTTCATAATTCATGTTCTTACTTTCAATCTTTTTTTCACTGCAATTCTTATATTTTTCACTTATGGGAACATCAGACCATTTGGGAACGCATCGTACGAGGGAATGGGCAATAGTTGACAGGCCGTGGAGACTGGGGGGGGGAAATGGTGGGAAAGATTGTGGAAAAAGGGAACCTCGATGTGGCTCAGCAACGCCTTGCCACCTACTGTTAGTATTGAATAATATTCTTCAATAGTATGGATTATACATTCAATATTATTGATTATTTACTCAATAATATCCATTATTCTATATTAATATGCATTAATATTCGACATTTCAATGTCATAACCTAAGTCATTTCAAATTCTATAATAGTTAATAATTTTCATAGGTACAGCTAACCTGCAAATCCCCTAACTTCTGCCACTTTGCTTCTGTTCTCTTCAGATACCAAAATATGCAACAGCCTGCGAGAAGCTTCGTGCTCACATCTCAAGTCCACACAAGGTACCTCCAGCCACCGACCCAAAGCGACACATTCCAGACTAGGAACAGTCACGAGGTAGTGTCCAGCCAGGACCCTCTTCCCAATATCAGGGCAGGACATGTTACCTGGCCCCAGGACTATATGCAACTGAGTTTTCAGTTGCATATAGTCCTGGGGACCATTCAGCCTGTTACATTTGTGTGCCCCAAAGAATGAGGCGATTGGATCGAATGCTATGCCCAAGCTTACCATCTGAGTGCCGGCAGGGGGAAGTGGTTCAAATAGCTTCGGCTATCACTTCCTTCTGTCCGCTCATGATGGTGCCAGTTTTCATTCATTTATAATATTACACACAGGTATACAACTAGGATAATTATTCATTTACAATAATTATCCGAACTATATACATATATAAATGAGGATACGTTGTATATTTTATATTACCTATATATTATATCTGGATATGTATCGGACAATTTAGATGCATCCTAGATATGCATCTCAAATATATATAATCTAGATATAATCGATTATTTTGTAATTTTATTTATGTATTGTAACAATTATTTACTGAACCATATGCCAACACATTTCACTACAAATGAACCCCTACAGTCTATGTAAATATCCAAACATAGTTTTATGTATTACCATCTTGGTCGTAACTCAAAGTATCAAACCAGACACTTATTACTGTGCACACAACTGTTGAAGATTACTAAAGGTTATTAACACTACTATGTTTGCGTTTATTATTTAATGTGTTTTACTAGTCTGCTGCTTCAGACTTATCAAAACTACATTCAAAATTCCCAACTTGTACATTACAAATCAACTAATACAATAATTGTGATGCTGACACTACACTCCTGTAATAATGGCACATATCACTATCTCCTAACTGATAAATATTTAAGGAATACCTTTGACATGCAATTCAACAGTGAGGTCATAGGTCCCTCTACAAATCTATGCATAAGTATCAAATGCTAAAACAAGATATAAATTTGAAGCCAAACATATCCATGGACACCAGTTAGTCAACAGACATGGCATCATCATCCTTATCTTGATCCTTGCTTTTATCAGAAACCTCATTCTCTTCTTCCTTCTTACTGCCTTCCTCTTTACCCTCTTTCCCAAGGCCTGAAAGAAAGAAATAAAATCTATGAATGATCGATTAAATACTACCATGACTGCTTTCTTGAGAATCCAAATACAATACTACATATGTCTCCTCTACTGTCCTAGTTGTATTTACAGCCAATGAACTACACTAAATAGAAAACTAAACACTATAAAGATCCTATTGGTTTTTAAACATACTTTTAAACTTGCGAGTACTTGTCAAAACACTTAAAACATGATCATTAATTAAACATTCAAATAATATGTTATCATCCAAAGTATTTCACTGTCAAGAGTATGTATCCATACTGGCAATTCACAACTGAGGCAAAGTATCAAATGTCTAGTTGATGAGATGACAAAAGCTTATTACTGTATTCTATTGTATAGTGTGGCCGATACGGGACCATTTACTTTGTTGCTACTAACCAAATAGCTCCAATTATCCTTGCAGTATGTGGTCAGGTCACACTTCCCTCAAGTAACATCCTTCCCAGTGATATCACACTAACCTATGACATCAGGTAAGGTACAACCTACATTTGGACGTGCATCAATATAAAGTAATTATCAAAATGGACAAAACCAGCAAGGCTATGTAGCACCATCAAATGGGCGGAATAATCACAGGGCACTAAATATCACCAAGGATGCCAATATGAGAACACAAACGCACAAAGCGAACGATAACAAATTTATCCAATTCACAAACAATTAGATCGAGGGACAAGTGACTGCAAGGGATAATCGGAAAGCAGAGCATAGAGAATGCCAGAAAGTTCTGCCGTGAAGATGCCAAGTCTCCAGAGGCAGGCGACATTATCTGGTCAGGAAATAACTTATGTGATGGGTCTAAGATTCCAGAGAGTGTAGGCCATCAGTGAAGATGGAAATGAAATGACAGTGTGAAGAAAAGTGTTCAAGGAAAACGCATTTCTGAACCGTAGGAGGGGTAAAAGCTTTAGTAATGTGGCTCAGGGATTTACACAATTTAGCAAGGGAGACCCTCCACAGGAGGGCAAAGATGGAATACTAGGAGAAATATTGGTAATACTAACCGAAAGAATTTTGCTGGCGAGAAAACGGACCACAAACACGGAGATGGGTGAAGGGGAACATGAGGTACAGGAGGGGGAAAAGTGAAAGCACGACATAGGCAAATATTAAACACAGACTCGACTCAAGGTCACGGCCTCTTCCATTGCTCGCCACCGTCGCGTTCCTCCTCGTCTCCACCATATGCCCATTTCTCAAACAAGAGTGTTCATCGTTCTGTTCCGCCCAGCCACAACCTCTCCACACGCTACCATCCTGGAATTCCATAATATCCATCAACTTATCATCGACAACATTTCCTATTCTGTCCAACCATCTACGAACAATTCCTTATTAGAAATTTTAGCAATGAAGAACATTCGAGTACATTTCAACATCTAACAAAACAATTTAGTTATTATTTTCATATAAAGGGTGTTAAAACTGTCAACCTATATCATAACTACAATACACATCAAAACATTTTCAACCTCTGACGAGTCCTACTTTTATATACAATTCATTCAAACCGCAACCATGACAAACCACACCCCACCCATCTCAAAACTAACCGTTTCTTATACATACAATTGCAGTGCTAAACGCAATTTTTGTCCCTCCTCGGGGTTTAGTCATTCCGCAAATTTAACCCCCTCAGCCTCTCATTTCCTGTTACACTTCTGCCTAGCCAACATTAACTGCTAAACAACTACCTACTAATACCTATATGACCACACATTCCCGCTTACTTCTCCAGGGACACATCTCTTCCTAGTACACAATTCTCAATTAACAAAATAAACTCCACACCAATATACTTACTGCTACACCACAACCAATACCCCCCCTCGACCAATACCTGAAGTTAACAACGCACTTACATTTCAAGGACGAACAATCCGGACATGTTCCTTTCAATTCCGCCTATATTACTCTTACCACACGCGCTACCCCTGATTAACATTTTCTATTTACACAAATATTAACACACACCACCTACACCCACCCCAACACCACTGACTCGCAGGTTAAGGCCCTTCAACTTAACACCTCAATGTCCACCTCATACCATCCACCTCCAACTTCGTTATTCAACAACCAAAATACAATTATCTATTGCATCACCATAAATCTACTGCCTTCATACATATCGTTTTACATTTGTCACCTAACCTAATTGCCAGGAAATCCAGTCAACCACGCCCTATAGTCATCATGTACATTTACTTTCCTACACCTAGAGTGGGTCACACGACCGCGTTACGGCCGGAACATTTGCCTTAGTGGCCATGTTATTAACCAATTCAACCATACCTTACATGTGTTAAACCAACAGTTTTACATGCATTCTTAATATGCTTACTCATCACGTCTATACCGTTTCCCATTAACAACAAACTAACATCTTATTACTTCATACTTATTGCACCAACTTCACCATGGGACTACATGTTGACAAACTATATATTCAAAACTTATTTCTAATTTAATAATTCGTAGTTAACTATTATTCAAAATCTACCTTCCTGTCACATTCAACTTCCACAACATTTAACTGATAATGTAACGTTTATGCGGCCGAGAGTAGTTGACAAACAAAATATTAACTTTTTTAAAACTCAACTACGGGCTCACCATAGCCCGTGCTACTTTGATCTTTTAGTTCCAGGTAGCGATTCTTTAACAACCCTCACCGTTACACTCTACTAACGTGGAAAAACCTATCTACGATTTTTCTACAACACTATTCACACACTTACTGCAAAGTATTCACGAATAGGGCAGTAGAAGCGTCTCCCTGTTCTTCCAGACACGCCAAGGGGTCATGCCAATCTGTCCGCTATTAACTCCAAGAAGGCAACCTCATGCTATATAAATTATTCATTCAATCATGCCTATATCATACCTTTCATTGCAACATTAGTTAATGTTGCACAACTATTTTTATGCTGCCCATTTCAAATGGCACTTAAAACCATAGATCACACCTAGATAGTCAACGGGTTTTCCACCTCTTGTGACCTAGACACCCTCTGAGCAGCTAATACTATTAACCACTTCAATCTCACTTTAGTACGGTATCCTAATACAATATTACCAGCCCTTTAAACTTAGATAATCAACAACTACTTGCCTTAAAGTAAGACCATATATAATGCAGGCTAACTCACGCACCACATCTTGCCCAACCGGGACATCGACCACCACCTGCTTACCACTGACTTCAATCATCGGTCCACCATTGGTCCCATCAACGTTAGTCTCCTCCACATTCCTACATCACTCATTTCACGCGATGCCTCATCTTCCAACCATTGCCTCGTTCAATAACAATACCGCTGAAATACATCAAATTACAATTCAATACATTTATAAATATATATTAATACTGATTAGCGATCAGGAATAACATTATCTGCCTATATATATAGACTCCCACAAGAGGGTATATATACGGCAGCAGTAAATTATATATTTTTGACCCTATGTATTGGCGTTTTGCGGGTGTACAATATGAGTGTAAGCTAGGGGATCTGTCAGCCCTAGCGACCCCAAAGGGTAACGGGGTACCAGCTCAGAGTAACATCACGCCCTAACACTAACTTGTACACCACAACTATGCCAATACTGGGGCCAAAATAACGTTCCGTCGAGCCTCACACACCAAGTCGACTCAACAGCCAATCACCTTTCGATTTTTCAATTCACGTCACATTCTCGCAAGCTCTACTCTCATTGGTCCGCTACACCTAATTGGATACTCTAGTCATTCATGACAATTATATATTGGAACTCAAATATATACACCCATAAGTATACCCAATGTATGAGAAACATACATATAACAAATCTATGACAAACAATGTTTGACTTTACACTCACAAAGGATGACTTTGGATTATTTAAGTATTATTATAATGATTAAATATTAACAATACTTATTCAAGCTACAAGTACAGTACAACAAAGTACAGTACACTTCCGTACGCTAACATACATTACACTACTATACATTACAGTACTGTACAATATAGTTCCGTACGCTACAATACAGTACTATACATTACAATAAAGTACACTACCGTACCATACAACAGCACACTACTCTACAGTACAATAGAGAACAGTACAGTACCGTATACTACACTACAGAAAAGTACGCTACAGTACACTACAGGGTACAGTACCCTACACTGCAGTACAGTACCGTACAATACTCTACACTACAGTACAGGATACACTACACTATTGTACAGTACCGTACACTACAGTCAAGGGTACAGTACACTACAATACAATACAGTGACATCATTTACAATGTCACTGTTAATACCAACTCCAAGGTATTTATGCTGCCTACACGTTTCAATCTTCTGGTTGTTGACCTTGAAAGCTATAGGGACATGAGTTTTCTCTTGGGGATGGAGAACTCTGCATTTAGTTATACAGATAACAACACCACATTCAATGCTTTTAGCAGCGAATGAATCAAGTAGAGGTTGCAGTCTAGTTTGGGATTTTGCAACAATGCATATATCAATATATGCATTGTTGCATATATATATGACCAACAATAGTGTTGGTCTATACTAATCGTTATTCGTTAGTATGCGTTCGCTACTTAAAACATTTACTGTACTGATGTAAAATCTCCCATGAACCCATTGTTGATGTGATGACTTATATTGAATTTTGTAACTAGCTCATCAAGATTGTAACTTGCTTAGCTAAATGAATTGTGGCGTTCAGTCCCTGAGCCCATTATGTGCCTCTGTAACCCTTTCCACTACCGCCCACAGGATGGGTATGGGGTGCATAATAAATGAACTAAACTAAACTCTCTTTGCACATGGAACACCGAACCTTACACACTCTCTGATATATTGTTTAATTAATAGAGATTCACTAATAAAGTTTATAATTGTATATGTTATCAAAAAGGCATACATAAAGTCGTTCTTACGTTTTAAGCTTATAATTGAATATGTTATCAAAAAGGCATAGATAAAGTCGTTCTTACGTTTTAGTCACAGAGATTAGATATTAGTAAAGTTCATTTTATTCAGGAAAGTACATAAATAGTCGATTTACAAACATAATATTGGATTTATAGATAGAGCTAGTACATACAATACCTATAGCCACTAGTACGCATAGCGTTTCGGCCATATTATTGAGAGAGGAAAGATATTTATATTTAAACAATTTTTTTTTTTTTTTACCGACGCTCTCCCTATTGATGAGAACTACAACCTAATGAAGATAAATGTTAATTTTATGTAGATACTGTAATAAACGAAAGTTTTTAATGTCATCAGAGAACCAGAAATATAGGCAAATTTTAAATCCCTTGTCATGGGCCATTAAGAAGCCCGGCAGCCGATGCTTCAGTCATGAACTCCCAGCTGAAGCGTTCCACCCGACGTTGTGCCCATCAATTTATCACTCTTTTTCAGTTTTGTAATTCTCGCTTTCCAAGCTTCATGAATTGTTCCCGTTATTTTCTAGGACACTTATATTCCACTCTTTAGCCTAAATTGTCTTGCAGCTGGCCCTCTACTTACCACTAAGGTCTTCCCTGGTGGCCAGTTGCCGCTATTTTCCTCCCTTTATCAGATGTTGATGCTCCAGCTCCGATGTTCCAGCCGCTGATGGCAGGATTTTCCAGTTCAACATTCGGCAACGGTCGTTAAGTTAATCCATTATTTGGCACAATTTTGACTATTGGTGTTTGTGTTATACACGCTAAGTTAATGTGGGTTTAAGGTCCAGGGGCCGGATTCAGGAAGGTACTTACGAAGGTTTTTCCTCTTAGCTAAGAGCGTTTTCCGTCTTAGCGCCTTCGTGGCGGCTACGTCCGTATTTAATTAACTACCCTAAGTGGAAAAACCTTCGTAAGTTCATTCCGGGATTTAAGTGTGGTTTCGACCACTCGTAGCTTTACGTAAACTGGATATAAGTCATTTTTTCTCTACTACATAACACTGGGATCGATTTATGATATTGGAACATGACCCAAATATTATAGCTGGTGAATCTAGTGGAGAGGAGTCCTTCGTGTTAGTTATATATGCATTCTCTGCTTGAAACTTGAAGTAAATATGTGTTTGATGATAGTAGAATTAGTTTTATAATAGCAAGATATTATACCAGTAGTTATTAAGTAAATAAACACTGGTGAACATGAAATATGAGAGAAGGTGATGAGCCCTGCCTGATGGGATCATTTACTATCACCAAATGCCCCTGTTCACCTAGTAGTAAGGGTGTACCTTAGCTATACATACCCATTTCTAATTTATTTACTTTGGTTTTATTTTGAAATTAAATCTGGGTGAGACATAAAATAAAAATATGCTGCACAAATGATGTTAGGTAAGGAAAAGGGTAAAAATGTCAAAAACTTTATTCATTGAATACTTAAAGCTATAATTATGACTATATAGATTATTAAAAAAGAGAGAGGGAAGTAGGGGTCCAAGACCTCTTCCTGTTATACAATTTGGGTGTGGAACAAGTAATTATCAAAAGAAGGCACCATGCCGGGAAGGCTATGTAGCAGTAAGGCAGTGAGGTGAGGCAGCTACTTATTTGAGAAATGCTTATTTTATTTACCTTATAAGCTGAGGCAACTTATTTTATTTGAGGAATACTCAGCTGATTCCTCTACATTTAGCGTGGAACAAATTTGTGTCCAAGACCTCTTCCTGTTACTCAATTTGGCTGTGTGTAACCAAACTAGAAGTGCTCTACAAATCAAGGGACCCAGAATGTGGAATGACCTCCCGAATCATGTCAAAGGCTGTACCTCTCTCAACCAGTTTAAGAGTTAAACCAAGTACTGCCTAATTAACTCCATGTAACCTAACTTACCTCCTAAATGTCAACCCATGTCTTGCTATTTTTTAAACAACGCTGTTCACCAACATGTGCAATTGCTGATTTATGCTATGTTAACCCCCTTTTTGTATTTTTTATTCCTTCTTTCAACACAATTTATACCTAATCTCGATTGCTATTAAGTTTTAGTCTGTGTTTTTTTCCCCCCCACACCTTGCCCGAAATGCTATGAGTATTAGTGGCTTTAGGTATTGTATGTACTAGCTCTGCCAATAAATCCAACATTATGTTTGTAAATCAACTGTATGTACTTTTCCTGAATAAAATGTATTTATTATTTATTTTTTAATCAGTAAGTATTAAAAGAAGGCACCAAGCTGGGAAGGCTATGTAGCACCATTGTGTGTAACAATAAACCAAATTTTTTTTAACAAATAATGCACCTGTATGGGAAAACAAATCCTGTCAGCTGTAAAAATATTGATGCAGTTATTTAAATGAAAAATATAATGAAAGAAATATTACTGGTTTATTTTTATCCTATCTTTTTGTACTGTACAGTATATCCAAGGAAGTGAAAAATTAAGACATAATGCACAATTTAATGAATGATTAGCATGGATTAGCAGTTCAAAAGAAATATGACTTGTATTACATATCAACATGAGATCTTAATGATCCATGGTCAACATGATTTAATAAGGATAATACAGTACTGTATTTGTAATAATACAAACTATAATTTAAATCTTTATTACTGATTTTTTTTATTAAGAAGATTAGGTATACACAGCAATGTGCTGCTACCCTATTCTATATGGAATATTACACAGTGTAGATAAAAAACTACCTATAAGTTTATCTAATACTCCCATCTCACAGGATGGTTAGACATACTGTACAAGGAATCAATTTAGAAAATACCAGCCTCAATACAAAAAACAAATCAACTCTGACTAAACAACTCTAAGCAATTCTCACAAGAGGTAAGCACTGAATCATGGAAACATTATATTATAATTACTCTTACCAGTTTCTACAAAACTCCTCTCAAACAATGTATTTTTAAACATGTTTAGGTATACACAGCAATGTGCTGCTTCCCTATTCTGTATAAAGGACCACACAGTGTAGATCAAAAACCAGCTACAAGCTCACCCAACATCCTCACCTCACAGGATGGCCAGTCATACATGGAATGAGGAGAGAACAAAATACTTAATGCTGATCTATTAGCCTCCACTGGCAAAATCTGGGTGCAGCACAACAATATCTTCCAATATTCCTCAGTGTATGAAGTAATTACAGAGCTCAAAGTACCTCATACCATTTGGTATGAAGTCACTGATAACAGGACAATCACAGATATAGTGTTGGAGAGTATGTTCTCTCAAGTAGGACTGAAAACAGATGTTTTTTTTTCCACCAAGAGGGCTATAAACCCATGGAACCGCCTACCCGCTGAAGCCGTAAATGCCAAATTCCAGCTAAAAAATATCATTAATTCAATTGGCGGGCCCTTTAACAAGCCGCCGGCTTTCTGTCCTCTTCGAGGTCACTAGATAGTTGGTGGCCATTGGGTAAATTCAGTAAATATATACAATAATTGTCAGCGCATCTTCCGAGCAAGAAGGACAGCTACACAGTATCTCTTAGAATTACGTAGGTAAACAACAAATGTAACATATTTGTTTACTACAATGTCGGTGCTGGCTGTAGAAGTTGAAAAAACATTGTTTTACTTCGAAATATACTAATTTTATAAGAAAATTCGACGTAAATAGGAGGCAGTAGAGCTCCTATAAGCCAGCGCTAAATC